GAAAAAATATCGAACCGTGACACCAAAGTATCGAACCGAACCGTGAATTTTGTGTATCGTTGCACCCCTACTCTTTATATAAGAAGACTCTGAAGGTACTCTGGACAAGGTTTTATTTACATCTTGCAGAGGTCAACTTTCATTTTACAGGCACTAGTTAATATTTTGGCCTTTTAATTGGACAACACAAAGGAGACACATGTTGGTTTTATCACACCTTCAAATCAGTCAGAATCAGGATTCCAGATTCGGTGTTGATGATTAGAACCTATTTAGAAACTTGCTATCTGTTATTGCAAAGCTCTATTAAAGGCTTTGAGTCTGGCAAGGCATTTAAAAAGAGCTCAGGATTATTTAAATATACGATTTGCAACTTTTCCTTAAAGTTCCTACTCACTTATTCGGAGGGTTTGATTTGGAAGAATTTAGCAAGCACTGGCAGAAGTTTCTTAGGATCATATTGACAACCTGAGAGAGAGTCAATAAAAATGCATACTAGTTAGCACACACATACAGCAAGAGGGCTGCTGATTTATAGACTTTCATCAGTGCGTACTTTGACATGGAGCTCGGAGGATGGAGGAGCGTCAGTGTGAAGACTGATGACCTTTTGTCCAATCGGATCGTCGGGACGACCAGGGAAGATGACACTGAGCGTGTGTGAGATCCTGGACAGCTGGGCCGACATGTCTGAGGACACGTGAGTGTTGAACAAACTGTGGAGGAACCTGAAGGCCTAACACAGGCTAAGCCTTCATCAAAACTATTTTCTATACTTTTTCAAACGTACACATCATTCAGTAGCTGAGCCTTTATAACAGACACTCACTTCCTGAGGGTCTTTGATTCACATACTGTGGCGCCATCTTGTGGTTCACAACACAACAAGCCAAAAGCAGCAAACAAAACAAAAAAACTCTTTATTAGAGTGAAAAAGGTGGAATAACGTGGGGTATGCTTTAGGACAGGCTTTAGGACAGGCTTTAGGACAGGCCTGCCTTCTGACTGACAAGTCGGGGCCCTTTGCACGGTGAGGCATCTGGAGGCTTCACACTGGGACATTATTAACCAGTGGGCAACATTATTTTGGCTATGCCCATTTCTTATGTACAGAATGTGTACTTGTTGTTTAGCCCTCTTCTTTTTGTAAATCCGAAGTATTATATATGAGGAACCCTATAATTAGGCTCAAATTAGTTTAATTTGATGTTTAGCAACTACATCAAGGAGTTTAAACTATCAGCTAAAATATTACTAACCAAATGAAAGTACAGACCTGAAAGTGAGGTTTGTACGCATGTTGCTTAAGTTTAAATGCCACAAATGAAAAGTATATATAAATAAATAGAGATAAGATCAGAAAGACCTAAGAAACTGGTCTCTGTGTGAATCTCTATTATAGACTGGTGAAGGGTTTTCCTTGACAGAATATAAAACGTGTGAGTGAGCGCATGAACACCTTCCCACCTCCATCATTTCCATCAACGACAAGTTCTGCAAACTCCTGCAGCTGAACCTTCAGGACCTCCAGGGGGTCATCATTGCCGTCTGAACACGTAGCATTCACTGAAAACAGGAGATGAGGATCAGTTTCTGACTATGAGATTGTTGTATTATATGAAATAAGTGCAAAGCTGAGGCTGCACAAGTCAGCTGCGTATTATTTATATGTACAGGGCTCTCAGGGCTGAGAGTGTGGTGAAAATTAAATATAATCATCAATCAGTCTAACCTGTCACTCTCAAGCACAGCAGCTCAACTAACAGAGTCTCTGCAAAATTATACCCACGCGTAGACTGAAAAACACAAATCTGTCAAAAGGTGACAGAATTTATCGCACTGGTTTTCACTCATCATAGAGTGAAACCTCATCTTACATCTAATCTGACTTTCCCCACATAAACTCATCACACTGAGACATCAGTGAGTCAGTCTGATGAGTGCAGTGCTGAATGATCATGTGTGATGACACGCCTCTCTGATGCAGCACTTCTCAGATCATGAGTGCTTTGCTTCCTTCAGGAGGCTGCAGGGATAAAATCGACTCAACACAGAGGTGTACATGCACACCCAAACCCTTCAGGGTCTGGAGACGAAAGCTGATGAAGCAGCGTTTAAAACGTGCTTTCTCCGAATGCCCAGCAGAGGGAGACTACACTTGCTGTCATGAAAGTATGTTTTCATTGATGTTATTGATTTTTTTATTATATTGTAGTCAAATAAAAGATAAGTCACCATATCTTGTAACTTATGCTTGACCATTCGTTACAGGTTGGGGATTATTTTTTTAAAGTCAGAGGCAACAAAGTTTCCACAAGACTAGCCCAGCTGTTTGTCTTCATGCTTAAATTGGGAAATGAAGAAAGGCTCCAGCGTCTGTCTCTGGTTTGGACGTGCAGATCAGCAACCCTGCCGTTCTGCCTGAGCCAGCACACCAATAGCAAGTAGAGCTATAGCAGGCAGAATGCACTGCATTAATCCAATTTACCTGTAGTAGTTGCTGATATAGCTCCACTTATAAACTCTAATCACTGATCACTTCCCGTGAAAGACATTACCAGTCATTCTGTGCTCTCTTACTTTCTACTAAGAAGTACATCTGTTGAATGTTTCTCTGTCTGCTAAACCAAATAGAATTCCAAACTATATCTATTATGCACTATTTTATCTTACAGAGGTGCTTTGCTGCTTCAGGGACAGGGTGACCTGTCGGAGAAACTTGGATTCTGGCTTCTGACAGAAATCCCAAAAGGAGAACATCAAGTTATCGGATTGTCAAATAGAGTTGGAAATCTAGTGCCAGAACAAGCATAAATCCATGTCTGAATGACTTTAAAGGAAACATTTTAGACTTTCAAAGAGCTCAGACATGCATCCTAGTGAGATGCTTTGAGTTGCACACAAAACAGAAGAAATCAGGAGGCCTTGAATACTTTTTCACTGCACTGTGCTAATAATCAAACAAATAATGTCCATCTTTAAAATAAATAATAATAAATAATGTCAACGGTCCTTTAAAAGAATACCCACTATTCTGTTGTCTCTGCTTCTGGCAGGACTCCATGTAGGATGAATACTGTGCAGCAGGGATCTTATCAGCTCTAAACACACAAAAAGTAACAAATAATCATAGTGTGGTGATGATGATCAATGTTATCACTTAAAACAACTAGAAACTTAATTAAAGAAGAAACTCTGGGAACAACCTGCTGACATTTTCATCTCTCTGATAGAAACTCACTTTTTCAACGCTTCGATGAAACTCATTCGAGCATCGACTTTCACAGGAAGCTGCAAATAAATGACAGTTCATGCATGTCATGCAACAAAAACACAACCTCACACATGAGAATGCACAGAAGAATATCGGGAGGGATAACAGGAAGCGCTTACCACTCTCGGAGTGAGCAGCGCGGGAAGGAAGCGAGTCAGGAAATACGGCCTCCGGAAAATACTGTGAGAAGACCAGAGAGGACCTTCAAATAACATGTATTTTATATTTAAAACAGATTATGAGAAAAGGGCCTCCTGAGCACTGACAGGCTGACTGGTTGGTTGCTTCATGTATATTAAAAATACATGTAAAATTGAGTTATACCATTCAGATCTTCTCAAGAAAATATCACAAAGTAATCCAGATCATTCTGTGAAGTCTGTTCTCATACTTTTGTATTTTCTATCCCTTTAATGTCTTGTGTCACTTTCAGACCATTAAAGTCTCTTCGTGGTTGTCCTGCTTTCGAATAACACCTTTCTGTAGCTGCTAAATTCTTTTAAAGAAAACACCTTAAAGCTCTCTTAAGCCGAGGGTTGGGGGCCCTGGCTCCTCAGCCCTGTGTCGGGTATAAATGTGCTGTAGTTTACCTGGCCTCCATGACTGTGGCAGAGATTCTGCCTGTGCTCTCAAACAGAGACACAGCTTTGTCCACATCCTGGGCAGCCTGACACTGAGGCTGCAGACACACAAACATTGGACTATTAGACTTATGTCAACCCAGGACTCAGCGATCCCTAATTACACCCGTGTCCACACAAAGTTTGTGTTGCTTGTTACTTAAGATGTAGAAGATAGTTTGGGTTCTGATGCCAGTTTGCAGGTTACAGAATAGAATAACAGAGCATAGAAAACAGAAGGAGGGCACAGCATGGAATAGAATATGTATTAAAAATTAAAATTCTAATAGAATATCCACTGTGAGTCACTGTTACCTGCACCGATGTACCTGCAGCCGAAACATCCTCATATAAACCCATGTCCTCCACTGACTCCTGCACACACACACACACACACACACACACACACCGTGATATTTAATTCATGTGCGCTACACTATTAACCACAATCCACTCAAAGTGTTGTTTTTATTGTATTATATGGAAAAATCAAAGTAACACAGTGATAACGACCTTCTTCTTTCCCTTTTCTTCTTACCTTAAGGTCAGCCAGTCTGGTCTTAGCCAGTGAGACGTACTCCATCAACAGGCTGCGGTGTTTCACAGGCACATATGGAGGGTGGAGGATGTGAACCTAGCAGGGGAAAATGACAGTGAGGTGTCAGAGCTGGGCTATTCCTCTCAGTTTCTAGCGTTTTCTTATAGTGTACACTCTCCAGAAAATGCCATAATTCTGCTAGCATTTGTTCCCAGCAGACATGTAGTTATATAAAAGTATTCATGGGCGATCCATTTTTCATAGCAGATATGTTACAAAAAGTAGAAAATAGCAGCTGAAAATGATCATTAACAAGCAAAACAAGCAAGCAGCATGAGAGCTCAGGAGAGCGGCTGTTGACAGCAACGAGCAGGCAACACAGAAAACCTCCTGGAGCGATTAGCATCCCCAGAACCAGAGGGGACTTTCACGTGGAAATGGAAATGCTTCGTCGAGAGGTTTAAATAAGTAAAACTTAAGACTTTTTTAATATTCAAGATATTTAAGTGGTTATTCTTTCCATGTAAAAATAATGATGTTCAATGTTCAGTGAAAGTATTTGGTTAAAGTTGAAAACATAGTCATAAATATTCTATAAATGTTTTGACATATTGTTTTTTTAATCTGATTTTTTAAACTAGTGTATTTCTACAAATGGCAAATAAAAGCTTTTATCTTCTGTACATGAAGTTTTCATATCGCCGTGTCCATTGAATTTAATGTTTCAACTTCAATAATTCCTCAAAATATGTGGTCGGACCTGCTTCTGCTTAACCTTGAGTAGAATTGAAGTCTTAAATCTAAGAATTAAAACATTTGCCGTGTGTAAACAAATGATGGATAATCTTATTTTCCACAAGCAAAACATTGCTGCATTAATGCACTCCGATAAGCATTAAGATTTCAGTGCAACAGCGACTGAAGTAGCTTCAGGTTTAACAAACACTGCAGCTACAGCGCTCAGGATTCAGACAAGTCAAGTGAGTTGAAAAGACTGAGAAGATGCACTCACAGCAACAAAACCAGCAACATTAGTGCTACTGCAAATCAAAGCAGTCTGCACTAGCAAAACACATAAGGGAATATAAGCATATTAATACCCTGTGCATTCCTACTAAGTGTAAACTCAGAGACGCGTGGATGTCACCTTGAGGTACTGTGGAGGTTCAAAAGGCACGAGGTCGGAGAGGAACTTCAGCAGGAACACCAGCGACTTCTTACTGCTCGCATGATAGCTACTGCCACCACCGAACGACATCTGGAAAGGTAGAAAAAGATTCTGCTGGTATTAAAAATATTAAAATAAAAGGTATAAAGCTCTCAGTGTTTCAGTCTATGGCAGAAAAGGTAATTCCCAAAACTATTAATAAACTAGAAACTATTAATGGATGTTAAAAGGCGAAACCTTGAACCAGTCGCTGTACGAGGGGAAGATGCCGGGTCCTTCCAGTCCACCCTGTCGAGCCAATAAGAAGGCGGTTATGAGGTTCTCAAGGTCATAACCTTCGAATGCAGAGTTCAGCAGTCTGGACAGCAGCTCTATCGGAGACACAGAACAGGACAGATATCACTGTGCTCCTCTGTCTCTGAAATACTAGTTTACTGCTACAGAAACTCGAGTTTATTTCAATATCACTACGCTGGTTTGGAATAAAGGTTGTGCATGATTTTTCTTTAAATTTGGTTTTTCTTCTTCCTTTCACACATAAGACTTCCACCTGTCTGTGCTGATAGACCATCAGCACGCCTACCTTTGAGGCTGGGCTGGGCACAGTGGTAGTACACCAGCAGGGTAGAGAGGAAGCACAGGACATGTTTCCAGTTGACTTCATGGGTTTCCAAAACCTGCTGCAGGTGACGCAGCAGCTGCTCCACGCTGAAGACCACAGCCAGCTGTTAGAGGAACAAAACAGCACAGAACAGTTACTCAACAGTCCCTGCTGACCACTGATTTGTAAACTGTGGGTCTTTTCAGCTTTTTAGTGAAAGCATTAATCCTGAAGAGGAAACCACTGATGTTGGTAGATAAGCGCTTGTGAGCTGGCAAAATGTGAAAGAGACAATATCATACAAATGAAGGTCTCAAAGTTAAAAGCAACTTAATACCTAAAAGTCATAGTGAAACCAGCGTCCTGCCGCACCTTTAGAATTGATCATATTGCAGTGCAAAGCTTTGTTTTAACTTGTGATGAGGAGATCGATCTGAAGAAAGTGCGCTTAAAGGGAGAAGGAAAGGAGCTAAAACCTGACTTCTAACAATCAAATCAGTAGTTTCTTTACTCCGCCTCCTCACTTAAAAACCAAATGTGGCTGATCGTTCTCGGTTGTTCCCCCAGCCTCGGGAATAGTTTACAGTCTCACATAAAGTTGACAAAAAGTTCAAAAGTATTTCCACCTATTTTTAGTTAAGAAATTAATAATAAGAAATTCACATTTAGCTTCAATTCAGACACAGAAAGAAAACAGAATACAGAACATGTTTTCTTCTTCTTAATCTTAATTACATGCGACAAACTGACAAACCCAGTTACACATTTACCTGACGGAAGAGAGAAGTCAGCAAGCGGCTGGCTTTTGCAAAGGTCCACTCATTCTGCAGGGTGATTGCATCTGACACTGAGAACATATCAGTTATGTCATTTCTGCAGCATAAAAATGACTTTTAAAGATTTATTTACACCACATCAAATATCGCTGGACCTACGAGTGATTTGAGTTGCTTAGACCTTAATTTGATGCTTTTTGTGATGTTTCCTAAAAGAGTTTTTATTAAACTTATTGTGCAATATTTATACCACATGGAGAGTTAAGTAATTCATGCAAAGACAGATGTTTTATAGATGTTTGCAGATCTGTCAAGTCTGAAGCATCCAGGGATTGAACCATCAACCTTCCAGTAAGTAGATGACCTGCTCCAGGTAACCAGGCTTGATCCTGCTTAGCTTCCAAAATCAGACGAGATCGGGAGCGCTCAGGGTGGTGTGACCTTTAAATAGTCAGTGATCATTTATAGCTAAATAATATAAACTGGTAGCTAAATGGGTATTGATTAACCCATTAAAGTTTTGGAAACTTGATGATTTAATCACCTTCCTTAGTACTATTGATGACAGTTTAAACGTCACCTGCACAAAAGGCATCAACAGACAAAAACACAGATTTTTACATTGTGATCAAATCTCAGTAACGATTTTTTTACTGCGTACTGTAGATCAAGAAAATCTTTCTGAAACTGAACTCTCAGTTCCCTCTTAAAGGTCTTGCCAGATGAATAGAGGTGGATAGGTTCCAGCTAATCTTCAACATTTAAAAAAAAACTAAAGCCTCAGTCTGTTTGAAAGGGCCTGTGACAAGTCTTTACCTTTCAGTCGGGGCTTGTAGGTGAGAGTCTGCGTGAGGGAGTGTTTGAAGAAACGCTGAAGGCAATCGGCTGGCACTGAAACTCCACACAGTGAGGCATCAAAAATCTGAATCCTGCAGAAGACACCGAGCGAGAAATTACACACTGCATGTAACAGCAAGACTAAAACTGGTGTCAGGCACCGTGGTTTCAATAAAGTTTATATAAATCAAGCTCAGCATTTGACATCCAGAAGATCGCCATTTCTCCTGCATATAAAAAAATGAGCCGAAACCTAGAGGTTATGTTAGTGTGACTATTTGTAGGTAAGTATAAATCCCTTTGCCCGCTCTCCTGCCTTTGATTCCTGCGTTTTGTAGGAAAATCTAAAATTTAGTTTTCTTCTCTGATCTTGCAGTGACATATATATAAACGCAGGTCTCCTTTCTCAGACAGAGACATCAACAGTGCTGTCTGATTGCATGAAAGGTAAATAAGAAATAAATTTTTAAAAACCCAGAACCAAAGCTCAGCTCCTGCTTCAGCAGACTCCAGCGTCAGACTCTCGTCCACAATATCGAGAACCCCTGAAAGACGACAGAAAGCAATAAAAAGTGTGGCTAAAAATAAAGAAAAGAAAGTACTACCTTTACACCAAGACAACAATTAACAATCGAAGAAGTCAAAAAAGATGTTTTCCGCATGCAGAAGTGTGAGTCAAAGTGCTTTAGTTAATATTTTATCGGCACAGGACAGGCTAAGTGGGACAAGGACACGCAGACTCACAGAAGAGCAGGTCGTCTAGAATCGAGCAGCAGAGCAGGGAGAGCCTTCTGTCTGCAGCCGCCGGGTCGCGCCTCAGCTCAAAGCCTGCTCCCACTAAGACGCCAACCACACCTGAAACACAGAAGACCTTTCTTATTGTCTTCTTTAGCATAATGTCCTACAATATTTCCAGACACGCTCTCTTTGAAGTAAACTTACTCTACATTTAATGTGAGACAGAGGAGATGTCCCTAATGCTCTCATTTCATGCATATAGCTCTGGCTGTGAGCAAAGAAGCCCCACCCACCTGCTGTTCAAACCTTTTGTTTATGAGGGGCTGCCAATCAGAACATTTTGTTTCAGACAGTGGATGAACTGAGGTGCTGCACGAATGCCATGTAAGGAAAAGCTAATAACTGACAGGACCAAAGACCAAATCTCTAAAACCTGAAGCAGCATTAAGAACTGAACGATTTCTTGAGTGAAAGCTACAAACGTCTCCTACTTGACAACACTTTCTGCTGAAGCTGTTTGGTCTCCTCTTCTTCCTGTGGAGGCCTCCATCCACACAGGAGCCTCAACTGGGACACCAGCCACGATCTCACCTCTTCATCACTAAACAAAGGTAAAAAACAAAACAATGACTGTGTGTGAGGAGTGGGGGTATTTAATCTGTCAGAACAGCCCAGATCATAAATAATCAGACAGTTACACCTGTTTTGATCTTCATCTCTGTGAGACTGCGCAGAAAGAAAATCATTAACTGATATTTCTTACCTCTCTAAAATGTACTTCAGATTGAGGATGTTGTAAGAGTGAAGATAGTAGACCATCTCCAGTTTGGGTAGCCTCTGAAAAACCCCACCAAATTCTTTATTCTAGCAACGTTCACCAAGTGAAAGACTTTTTTTTTTACAAAAAACAAGAGCACAGTTTCAATCTTTATTAAATATAATTCAGTCCTGAGTGTAGAAATATTAATGGAAACCAGGAAGGTTATCATGAACTACATCATCTCGCTTTTGCAGCTGTGTGCAACACCTAGAAGGTTACAGACAGAGCTTCTCCACAGAGGCCTCTCCACCAAGTTTCATGTAACTCTCCAACTTGTTTTTTAGCTTTCTGATACAGAGATACAGCTAAATGAACTACTGTGGCTTGGACGCAGAAAGCAGAAAGGGATGGATCCAAATATTGATTCTTTTTTTGAGTCCAACAGAAAGTTGGTTAATATTCCACCAGCAACGCTGGGCAAAGTCTAGAAAAGCAAAATAAATTAAACATATGAGGACGGTTGTTCTGTGTCAAAGTCAAAGTTTCGTTTCTCTTTTCTCACTATCTCACTGCTTCATTCAAACTACACTCACCCGACTCTTTTTCAGGTTCACCTTGGTCGTATCGGGTTAGACCCCCTTTGTCTCTCAGAACTTCTTTAATTCTTTGTG